GGATATAAAAGAATAAAATACAAACATAATATTGGTAAGAAGGCCAGTTTATCTTTACTTACAGATGATATAGTTGTATACTAGGAAAATCAGTCAGCTGCAGACCATGAAAACTTTCAGATGTTGGCTGATGCAAAAATAATATATTACAGCCATCCAGAAACCTCAACACAAGAGTATATTCCATTTGAAAACACAAGATGTAAACTATGTTGAAAATAAATTTGGTAAGAAATGCTCTGTATCTGTGTGACCCACACAACTAATGAGGGAGATAAGTGACTGGAATAAAGAACTGTCCCCATACTTACAGAAGAAGTAAGCTTTACAACTTTGGAAAGCCAACCATTATTCACAAAAGTTATAGTAAGTAAAGCAATGGCAATATAAATCCCCGAAGGACTTCAAATTTGGAGAAAAATTGACCAAAATAAGTCTACAATTCATCTGAAAGAACAGTTATTGCTGAGATTGATTGGATTGAGAGATGCCTAGGAGATTAGTAAAGCACACCTCGCAGTGTATCTGAGGCTTTTCCAGAGATGATTAGATCGTGGGCACTCTAGGCCAGTTTATAGCTTGATCCATTTATGAATGCAAAGTCTGGCTTTTGTTTTGTTTTCAGACAGGATTTCTATAGCTAGCTGGCCTGGAACTCTCTATGTAGGCCAGATTGGCCTGGATCTCACAGAGATCTGCCTGTCTCTGCCTCCTGAGTGCTGGAATAAAAGGCAAGTGACCACACCTGGCATGAATGCAAAATCTGAATAGACTCTTGGTGGAACTATGGATGGTATGGACTAGTTGAAGGAGCTGAGTCTGTAGTGATTTGAATAAGAAATGTCCCACTCAGGCTCATGTTTTGAATACTTGATCCCCAGTTGGTGGCACTGTTTTGGGAGGTTATGGAACCTTTAGGAGGTGGAGGAAGTAGTACATCACTAGTGGTAGGCTTTTAGAGTTTATAGCCATCTCCCATTTCAGCTCTCTCTCTCTGTTTTGTGTTTGTGGCTGAGGATGTGCATTCTCAGCTTTCAGCTCTGGCCACCTGATGCCATGCTTCCCCCACCATGATGATCTCTCCCTCTGGAGCTATAAGCTAAAACAAACACTTTTGTCTGTAAGTTGCTTTTGGTCCCAGCATTTTATCACAGCAACAGAAAACTACCTAATACAGGGTCATTAGAGAGCATGTCTTTGAAAGGTATGTATTTGCTCCTGGCCCCTTTCTGTTACTGTTTCCCACTCTACTCCCACAAGGTGAAGACATTTCCTCTGCCATGTCCTTCGGATGTGATGTTTGCCTTGCCCCAGACCTTAAAGCAATGATGCTAGCTGACCTTGGGCCGAACCTTAGAAAGCCATCAGCCAAAATAAACTTTCTCTTGTATATTGTTTATCTCAGGTGTTTGTCACAGTGATGAGTCCAATATATATGGGGATAAAGCTGTAAAGGTTAAAACTGTGAAAAGACTAATTAAACTGTTACAGGAGCAATAACAATCTGGCATATGATAAACATGGCATATGAGAACAGCACAGAAAAGTTGGGTGATTTATTAAGTAACACGGGGGAACTCATTTGTCAAGAGTAAAGTGCACTGAATTGTAATCTTCAGAAAGAAAAATGCTGAAGTCTTACTCCCTGGTAGTTTGGATTAGATTTTTAGTTCCTTGGTACTGGCAGGGAAACATTTCCAAGACCTTTCCTCCCCAATTCTAAGGTCCTCTCAACTCTAACATAAAATAGCATGCTATATAATAGAACCTGTGCACATTCTCCTGTCTACCTTAAATCCTCTAATATGCTCATAATATCTAATATAAAGTTAAGTGCTGGGGCTGGAGAGATGGCTCAGTGGTTAAGAGCACTGACTGCTCTTGCAGAGGACCTGGGTTCGATTTCCAGTACCCCCATGGCAGCTACAAACCTTCCTTAACTCCAAACACACTCATACTACATAAAATAAAATAATAAAATATTAAAAAATAATGTTAAATGCTATATAAAAGTTTTTTGGGGGCTAACAAGGTTGAAAAATGTATTCCTCCAGTACAGATGCAACTTTTTAAAAAAAAGACAAATGATTTCCCTGTAGCCCCAGCTGGCCTGGAACTGGCCACATACACCAAGGCTGACCCTGATCTCACAGAGACCCTCACCTGCCATGGCTTCCAAGTGCTGAGATTAAAGGTGAATGCCACCTGCCACGGCCTCCAAGTGCTGAGAGTAAAGGTGAATGCCACCTGCCACGGCTTCCAAGTGCTGAGATTAAAGGTGAATTCCATCATGCTCTGCTCATTTGCAACTCTTTTCCCAAGTATTTTTGATCCACAATTAATTGAATCTATGGATGTGAAATCTGCGGATATAAAAATCTTTTCAAATGTGACCAAATTAAGATGGGATCAAACTAGATTAGCAGGCCTGATCCAAGTGTCCTAATAGAGATTTGGATGCAGACCCATGGCAGGAGCACTAGCAACTCCTTGCCACTCCCCGAAGCCAGAAAGGGGTGATGCTCTCTTCTCTTAGGGCTTTCAGAGGGAACCCCACGTACCTCGATTTCAGATTTCTAGCCTTCCAACTGGGAGAGAACAGATCACTAACAATTTAAACTACCCAAGTTTGTGCTAATTTATTACAGTGACTGTAGAAAACTAGGAAAAATAAAGTGACTATCTCATTCTGTGTGGTGGATAATTGTAGTATCAACTTGACACACTTGGGTTGAGGGAGCCTCAATTAGGGAATTGCTTCCATTGGACTGGCCTGTGGCCATTTCTGTAGGGCATCATTTTGATTATTGCGTGATATGGCAGGGCCCAGTCCACTGTGGGTGGTGCCACCTCTGGGCAGGTGGGCCTATGTTGCATAAGGAAGCAGGTTGAGCAGGACTAAGGGAGCAAGCCAGTAAGCAGTGTTCCTCCATGGCCTGTGCTCCAACTCCTGCCTCCAGGTTCCTGATCTGAGTTCCTACCTTTGGCTCCCTGATGAACTGTGACCCAGGAGATGTAAGCCAAATAAACCCTTTTCTCCCCAAGCTGGTATTGGTCAGAGTGTTTTGTCATAGCAATGGAGAAACAAACTAGAACACTCTGTATACCAAAAAAGAGATCTAGGTAGATAGAAGAATTAAATGTAAAAATGAAACAATGACCCCTAAATACCAGATGATAACATGAGCGAAAGTTTGTTTCTTGGGAGAAAAGAAGGGCCTTTTTAAGAATGGAAGGAAACAAATAATAAATTTAATTTATGAACATTTAAAATATCTGTATGGGAACTTAGTCAAAAGTCAAGAAATGCCAGATGCAGGGTATAAACAGTAGGATAACCCAGAAAGAAACAAAGGACCACTGTACTAAGGAAATATAACATATGTTTTATATTATACAATATACAATTAGTATATATATACCTAATATATAAAGCATGCTCAACTTTAATAATTAATCATTAAAAAAAATCTCAGTGAATGAAAACACTATGTTTTTACCTATAGCTTGAAGACTCGTATCAGAATTAGCTAGGGCAAGAAACAGGCACTTATATTTTGTGGGAACAAATATTAGCATAATCCTTTTGTGAGGTAACAATTATTACCTTATCCCTGGCTTCTCCAATTATTTTTATAGCTTTGCTTTTTCATCTTCATTTTAATATGTACTGTTAAGGGTTGGAGATTAAAGTCTGTGGAAAGACATGACATTTACAGAATGTGGTAAGCACTGGTATAGCAGTTAGAGAAGCAAGTCACAAGACATTACCCCCAGAATAAGGTGGCGTGGCCAATGAGCTCCAGGGATGGATCTTCTTGTCTTCCATTTCCTTGCACTGGAGTTACAGGCAAGCACAGCTACATCCTGCTTTGCATGTGGGTGTGGGGGATCTGAACTCAGACCCTCAAGCTTGGGTGGCAACCACTGAGCCATCTTGCTAGCCCAAGCCTTGTTTTTTTGTTGTTTATTTCTTGACAGGGTCTCCCTAGTCGCAGACAGCCTGGACCAGGTTGGCCTCAGTGTCACAGAGATCTGCCTGTCTTTGCGTCTTGAGGACTGGGATTAAAGGTGCATGCCACCATACTCAGCGTTCTAGCCCGTGTTGATATAT